CCCTTCATCAGAAAATGATGAAGGGTCTAGGCCCGAAACGTCAGCCTCTCTGCTCCTATGATGCTGCTTGGCCTGCTGTGTTCATCCAGCCCTGCACCTTGTTGTCTCAGTGACGCCCAGTTTGGGTTCCGCCAGGGCCACTCAGCTCCTGACCTCATTACAGCCTTGGTTCAAACATGGACAAAAGAGCTGAATTCCACAGGTGAGGTGAGAGTGATAGCCCTTGATATCAAGGCTGCATTCAACCAAGTGTGGCATCAAGGAGCCCTAGCAAAACTGGAATCACTAGGTATCAGGGGAAAACTCTCCAGTGGTTGGAGTCATACCTGGCACATAGGAAGATGTTTGTGGTTGTTTGGAGGTCAGTCATCTCAGCTCCAGTACATCTCTGCAGGAGTTCCTCAGGGTAGTATCTTTTTATTTGTTTTTTTTTTAATCCATTTGTGGGATGTGGCCATCACTGTCTGGGCCAGCATATATTGTCTGTCCCTCATTGCCCTTGAGAAGTGAGCTGCCTTCTTGAATCTGCTGTCGGTTGACCTTAGGGAGGGAATTCCAGGATTTTGACCCAGTGAAAGTGAAGGGACGGATATATATTTCCAAGTCAGGATGGTGAATGGCTTGGAGAGGAACTCACAGGGGTTCCCATGTATCCGCTGTCCTTGTCCTTCCAGATGGAATTAGTCATGGATTTGGAAGGTGCTGCCTGAGGATCTTTGGAGAGTTTCTGCAGTGCATCTTGTAGATAGTACACATTGCTGCTACTGAACGTCGGTGGTGGAGGAAGTGAGTGTTTGTGGATGTAGTGCCAGTGACGTGGGCTGTTTTGTCCTGGATGGTGTCAAGCTTCTTGAGTGTTGTTGGGGCTGTACTCGTCCAGGCAAGTGGGGAATAGTCCATCACGTTCCTGATTTGTGCCTTGTAGATGGTGGGCAGGCTTTAGGGAGTCAGGAGGTGAGTTACTCACCGCAGTATTCCTAGCCTCTGACCTGCTCTTGTAGCTCTTGTAGGCCCAACCATCTTCAGCTGCTTCATCACAAGGTCAGAAGTGGTAATGTTTACTGTGCAATGTTCAGCTGTCTTCATAATAGTCGTACGAAATAAGAACAGAAGCAGACCATTTGGCCCCTCGAGTCTGCTTCAGCATTGAGTAAGATCATAGCTAATCTGTTTATGTATCGAGTTCCTATCTATCCCAATAATCTTTAATTTCCTTGCCTAACAAGAAACTATCTATCTCTGATCCTGCTTCCATCTTTTAAGATAGAGTTCCAAAGTTGACTAACACTGGGAGGAGATTAAAAAAAAGCTCCTCATCTCTGTCCTAAAAGGGAAACCTGTAATAGTAACATAGTGTCCCCCTAGTTTTGAACTCCCCCACTAGAAGAACATTCTTTCCACATCCACCTTGTTAAGACTGGTCAGGATCTTAAGCTTCAAACAAGTCATCCCCTACTCTAAATTCCTGTGGAAACAAGCCCAGTCTGTCCAAGCTTTCCTCAAGATAACTCACTCAATCCGGGTATCAATCTGGTACACATACTGTAATTCCCCTCCAATACATTTACATCCTTCCTTAAATAAGGAGACCAAAACTGCACACAGCATTCAAGATGTGATCTCACCAATGTCCTGTATAATTGGAGTATAACATCCTCACTTTTATATTCGATTCCTCTCATCATAACCCAAACTCTATCTCATTAGCCATCTTGATTACAAGCTATTCCCCCACACTCACTTGTTTTGACTCATGCACTGGGACATCTAAAGCCTTTGGGATAAAGCTGGGGGCTGGAGGAACAACCTGATATTTTGCCTTGGAAGCTTACAGCTCAATGGCCTTAACGTTCACTTCAAAATCCCTCCACTCCCAGCCTTATCCCATGTCCAGCCCTCCCCCTTCTGACCTGACCTAACAGGTCCATCTTCCCGCTCCACCCTTCCCATGGACCAATCACAATAACCCCCTACCTGCATCCACTATTACCATCTCTCTTACCCTTGCCCCAGCCCTACCCCTCCATTTATTTCTGGGCACCCCTCCTCTTCCCCAGTCCTGACAAAGGGTTTTGGCCGGAAACGTTGACTTCCTCTTCCCCAGTCCTGACAAAGGGTTTTGGCCCAAAATGTTGACTTATCAGCCTCTCGGATGCTGTCTGACCTGCTGTGCTCTTCCAGCCTCTCACCTATAGACTCTGGCTTGCAGCATCTGCGATCCTTACTGTCTCCAATTGAATCTAGCAGTTATGAGGAATTTGAACAGAGTATCTGACAACCCTCTTTCGCATATGCAGCGACAGACAGTGACTAATAAGAATTCAAAAGTGGAAAGCACAACATCATAACTGTTAGCAAGCCTCTGGTGGAACTGAAGTCGTATCCTTAATTTCCAAATGTTCCCTGGTGTACATTCTTGGTCTGGTCGAGGTCTTGTGCAAACTTAAGGGTTGGAGTCCAGAACCAATTTTGTTAAAGGCTGCAATCACTAACACAGCTATATTGACCTCTATGAGAACCAGGTAACCATTTTAACCCGACATTTTGACTGGTTCTGAACTGGATGTTGCTAAGCAATTTAACTGTTCCAACCCACGGGGTGTGCACTCTCCTGGGTACTGGCCTATGTGTTCCCTTACACATGTCAGGTCTCGTAGGACTCTTTTGCTGTCTTGAGCCTGCATACGGCAGCAACTACAATGACTTGCCAGCTTGGATCCTGAACAGCATTTTAGCTGTTTGGCCGAGGCTTGGCCTTGTTTTGGGTTTTTCCTATGAGCTGACCTAGGGTCCCTCTGCTCAGACTATGCCCTGCATGAGGCTCTGCAATTGCTTACACTCAAGTCGTGTTCCCAAAGCTCAGTTGGATAGGTGAGGGTGTCCATGTGCATTGGGATGCCCTGTAGCTCACATGCTCCACTTACCTCATTTTCTAACTACAAAGCCAGTTGTAGTGCCTGTTTGAAGTCCAATTGGACTTCAGCTGGTAGGAGCTTTTGCAGGGTTACGTCATTAATCCCACATACCAAATGGTGTCTCAGCATCTCATTCAGAGTTAACCCAAAATCACATGCATTGGCCAGTCGTCTTAACCACGTCCCCAGCACTCAAACTGCCAAATAAAACCGATAGCATCTCAGAATTAGAAAAGGCTTGGGATCGTAATATTCCTTAAATAAATCCATCAACTCTTGAAAGGTTTCAGTATCTGGTGCTTCAGGGAAAGTTTAGGCTCCTAATAACTGAAAATGTTGTGGTTCCACAAACAGTCAAAAGGATTACTTGTTGCTTTTCATCTGCCCCAAAGTCATGTACCAGAAAAAATAACACATTCTTTCCATATACTAGGCCCAGTCTTTGACCGCATGATTGAACGAGTCAAGCTTCCCAAATAAAGGCATGATGCTGGAAGTGCTTAACCCCAACTCAAAGGTAATTGTTGTGCGTGTACTTTCTTCAGGCATGTACTGTTTTCTCTCGTCGCCACTGAAATAACTGCACAGAGGCTGGTATCCCATCACCAAATCACCCTTTCTTTACATGTGCACAGTCCTTGGGCTCTGACTAGCCAGCTCAGAGCCAGTCCCTAGGATAAAGAGACTCTCTGAGCGTCCTGTTTGTATCTGTCAGTCAGGGCTCCCAGATTGGCCCAGGTTAAGAACCCCAATCAAGGATCTCATAGGCAATGAGATCCACCTGGCCTGTGTTCTAGTCACTACAGTTGGCAAATGTAATTGCTGGCCCGGGTTCCTTCTCCACTGACACTGCTGTACGTGCTGAGTGTTTGCAGAGTTTTCAGTTCTTATTCCAGAAAGTTTTTCAAGTTATTATTGCATTGCTGTTTGTGGGATCTTGCTGTGCACACATTTCTTAAAACTGATTATTTTTAAATGCTCCTAATTGGCTGCGAAGTGGTTTGAAGCATCTGAGGTTATAAAAGACTCTAAATGTCATTTTTCTTGCTTTCATAGAGGGCTTTTCTTTAAAATTCATTCAGGAGACAGGAGCTTCGCTAACTGGGCCAGCACTTATTGCCTATTTCTAGTTGTCCTTGAGAAGGTGGTGGTGAACTGACTTCTTGAATAGCCACAATCCATGTTTTGTAGATAGACCCACTAATTAATGAGTAATGTAATAAATAAAAAGGCACCAAAATATTGCAGAGGCTGGAAACTGGAAAGGAAAACATTAGAAGCATACAGCGGAGAAGCAACAGATAAGGCAAACATGTTAACATTTCTGCTGTAATCTTTCATTTTTGTATAACCCTTCATCCCACATAATGTCAAGTGGTTACACCTAAGTTGTTAACTCTCCTTGCACTGATCTGCCAATTGTTTCCAGCGTTTTTGATTCATTTAAGTGTCATAGAAAATAGGCCATTTGGCCCTTCAAGCCTGCTCCACTCTCCCAGCACAGAACCTGACCCAAACCTGAATTCAGACCAAGCTGTCCAATCCACAGGTCGACTTTAAGACTCTGAGGCAAATGTTTCTTAGCAACATATTTGGCAACTTCTCTCTGGGGTGTGCTGCTGTCTGAAATTTCAATGTTCTAAACCTGAAACTGAAACAACCCTGATTTTCTTCACCCTGATGTTTGTTCCCATGTGTCCAACTGCCTGAAATTCCTTTCCTAAATATCTCTGCTTCTCTCTCCTTTCCACTTTTGTTAAAACAAGGTGTGGAGGTGCCAGTGTTGGACTGGGGTGGATGAAGTCATAAGTCACACGAGACCAGGTTGTAGTCCAACCGAGATGGTAGGAACTGCCGATGCTGGAGTCTGAGATAACAAGGTGTGGAGTTGGATGAACACAGCAGGCCAGGCAGCATCAGAGGAGCAGGAAAGCTGACGTTTTGGGTCTGGACCCTTCTTCAGAAATCAGTAGTCCAACAGGTTTGAAGTGGAGGGATGTGCACAGAAACAGAATTTATATGCAGAGAGATAATGGCAACATAATTCCAGGTAATTAAGAATGTCAAAAGATAAATACATATAGTGTGATTGAAGTGTCGGCAGGCTGAATATCAATTCTTTGCAGGTGATCAAAAGTGTCAAACAGCTGAATGGCAAGTGAAGGGATGACCCATTATCTGATTAATTAAGGCAGATTATGTAAATTCTGTGCCTGTGCACTTCCCTCCACTTCACCTGACGAAGGAGCAGCGCTTTGAAAGCTTATGATTTCAAATAAACCTGTTGGACTATAACTTGGTGTCGTGTGACTTCTGACTTCAAAAACAAAACTCTAATCAGGTTAAACAGTATCTGTTTAACACATACTAAGGGTTAACAGAAACTCACTAAATCAAAATGACACTTCCAGGCTGATTGGCTTTAAAGCCAATCTTTTTGTGCAAGCCTGTTCTTGCCTGTTGTAATATCTCCTGCTGTGTATTTGGGTCCAGTGTTATCAGAGAACATGTCTTTGACATGATTAGTGTGATTCACCATATTGAAGATGTTATAGTCGTGCATGTTACTGTGGGATATGTCTCCAAGTCCGTTGTGCGGGAGTCAGCCACACTTGATAGGAAAGATATGAAAGAATTCAGAAAAAATTTACATGGAAGTTGCCGGTATTGGAGGATTTGAGCTATAAGGAGAGGCTGAATAGGCTGGGGCTGTTTTCCCTGGAGCGTCGGAGCCTGAGGGGCGACCTTGTAAAATCATGCTCACCCTGAAGAAGTTTTGCTCTTCCCTCCAACAGGATTCTAGTTGTCTCTTTCTCTTAGCTTTACTTGTTGCATTCTCTATCATCATGGCCTACACACAGACACACGTCCAGTGGAACCATCCATCCCTTCACATCTGGCAGGTAGACACACCAATGTTCTGCCATCCTCACATTCCAATCATTTAACCTGCACTATCAGCACCCTTCCTCCCCCAGCACTCCACCCCCACGCTATTGCATAAATACTGCCCCCTCCACACTTCACATCAGCTCTGATGAAGAATCATCGAGACTCGAAATGTTAGCTTGCTCTCTCTGCACAGACGCTGCCTGACTCACTGTGATCTCCAACTTTTTTTTATTTTCAGCACAGATTCCAGCATCTGCAGTAATTTGCTGATGAATAACTAAGGTCTTTTCTCCAGGGTAAGGGAGTCCAAAACTAGGGGGTGTAGGTTTAAGGTAAGAGGGGAAAGATTTAAAAGGGACCTGAAAAAGGGGCAACTTTTTCACACAGAGGGTGGTGTGTGTATGGAAATGAACCGCCACAGGAAGAGGTGCTGGCTGGTACAATTACAACATTTTAAAGGACATCTGGATGTTATATTAAGAGGAAGGGTTTAGAGGGATGTGGACAAAATGCTGGCAAATGGACTAGATCAGTTTAGAATATCTGGTCAGCATGGATGAGTTGAGTTGAGTTTCCATGCTGTACATGTCCATGACTCTATGACTTCACAGCTGGCCCTTGACACTTGCCCAGCTCTCACCTGTGACTCCTTGTTTTGCAGGGCAGTTGGCCTACCCTGTTAGCTGTGTTGGTTCACAGGCCAAGTGAAGTAGAAGTTCCCTTACTGGTACCAGAATCAAGGTTATGTGATCAGCTGGAGTATTCATGCAACAGGAGCTATTCTCCACATTGAAATCTCTCTAGAAGGAACACTAGTCCGCACTCCACCCCACCCCAGGAAAGTTGAGTATGCAAAGACTGGCATCCACAGAAAGCTCCTAGTCTAATGATATTCCCACTCAGCCACTGCGCCCCCAAAGAATGACATAGTTATAGACCATACAGCATGGAAACAAATCCTTCTGTCCAGCTAGTCCATGCCGACCATGTTCCCAAACTAAAGTCGCATCCACCTGCGTTTGGCCCCAATCCCATCAAACCCTTCCAATTTGTGTACTTATCCAAATGTCTTTTAAATGTTGTAACTATACCTGCATCCGCCACTTTCTCTGGCAGTTCATTCCACACATGAACTATGCAGTATGAATAAAAAAGTTGCTCCTCATGTCCTTTTTAAAATCTTTCACCTCTCACCTTAAAAGTACGCTCCCTAGTTTTGAGCTCCCTCACCTGAGGGAAAAGACCTTTGCTATTCACCTCATGTATGTCCCTCATGATTTTATGAACAGCGTTTAAGGTCATCCCTCAACCTCTTATACTTTCCAGCGAATGGAGAGTTTGAGTTTTAAGGGGAGGCTGGATAGCCTGGGACTTTTTTCACCAGAGCAATGAGAAGAGGAGCAAACAGGCTGGATGTGTAAATACACAAACCACTGGATGTGGTGGCATATGTGATATTGTCACTGGACTAGAAATCCAGGAACACAGGCTAATGCTCCTTGACATGACTTCAAATCCCACTATGGCAGATGGTGAAATTTGAATTCTGAACTGAAATTCAATAAAAATCTGGAATTAAAAGCTAGCGTAATGGTGACCATGTACACCTTGCCAGTTATTGTACAAACTGGTTCGCCTAATGTCCTGTAAAGAAGAAAATCTGCTGTCCTTGTCAGGTCTGGCTTAAACATAACTCCAGACCCATTGCAATGTGGTTGACTTTCAGTTGCCTTCTGAAATTGTTCAGCAAGCCCCTCAATTCAAGTGGCAGTTAGGAATGGCCAATTAATGATGATCCAGACAGAAATCCCAACGTCCCATGAATGAACCAAATAAAAACTAAAAGTATGAATATAAATTAGTATGACCAATGGGCGGTACAGGCTCAGGTGATTGTGTGGAGTTTGCACATCTTCCCCATGTCTGCATGAGTTCAAAGATGTGCAGGTTAAGTAGATTGGCTGTGGGGAAATTGCCGTAAAGTGTCCAGGGGTCTGTAGGCTAGGTGGGTTAGCCATGGTAAAAACTGAAGGGTTATGGGTATAGGATGGGATTCTGTGTCTGGGTTGGATGCTCTTTGGAAGGTTGGATGCTGACATGGCAGGCCAAATGGCTTCTTTCTGCACTAAAGGGATTCTATGATTCCTTAGTTCTAAGAAAAGGGAAAAGCGTTATTCTAGAGGTGTAGAATTGAAAATCGAGGGGTCACGTTAAGATTGTATCAATACTATAGAATACTATGTATCTATAGTCAGCAATGAGGTTATCCCTAACTGGAAAGGTTGGGTGGTTTTTGTTTAAAAGGGGAGATTGGGAGATAACCTACAAGTACGAAAATGTTTGGCAAGAGTTGATGGAGAGTTTTCAGTGGTGGAAAAGAGCATATTTTGAGAATATAATTGTAACTGCTCACTAATAAATCTAATGAAGAATTCAGGAGAAATTCTTCAATGAGTATGCAGAGAACCTGGAACTTGCAACTCCAGAGATTAGTTGAGAACAGTGTCAGTGGATTTCAGGGGAAACTATGTTAACTCAGTGTGGAGGAGAGTGGAATTGATGCCCCCTTCTGACGTATTTGCAAGCAGGGACCAGGTAGAATAAAACAGATGGCTAACCTACCTG